TTGATGAGCGGTCCAGTGGAGTGTTTGTCAGGCTGTACATAGATTTGCCTCCTGGCTCTGCCATTCACCTACTGTGTGGTTTTGGGTGAGATACTTAACCTCTCTAAATTTCCATCTTGTCAGTCAGGTGGAGATTTTAATAATACAGAAGCCATAAGGGGTTGTTGTTGACTACACCGTTAGTTAAAACAGTTTAGCCCATTGTAAACACTTTCATAAAGATGTTGGCATTTTTAAGAGATGTAAACATTTGAAAAAGATGGTGGTAGTGGCGTAGAAAATTGGTATAACCCTTTTGAAACACAATATTAATAGCCATAAATATACCTGGTAATTTCATCTTGAGCTAAGGAAATACTTTAAAATGTGGAAAAGGCTGTATTCATTCAGTCACTTAGTACTTTTGTAAAACTCCCTGGTATGTCTGAGATACTTGGCTAGGTGCTCAGATACAGTAGTATATATTCCTAGATGTTAATCTCCGAAGTGTTTATGGTAGTAGCCTGTATTCCTAACAATGGAAAATATAGCAAAGTAATTACAGTACATCCATACTACCACATTTTGTAAAGTGTTATGTAAAGCTCACTTATGATAAGCAAAAATAATACTGTGAGTCAACATCAAAAACAGATGCAGCCGGGGATTTAGCTCAGTGGTTCCAATGCCTGCCGCCTAAGTGCCAGGTCCCAAGTTCTGTCCCCAGTCCCAAACAAACAAACAAGCAAAACAAAACAAAAACGAAAAAAAATGCAGTGAGGAAAAGTAAAAGGAAATGTTAACAAGTTGAATTAGACTAAATGGGATTGAGAAGTTTTGGGAGTTTTATCAGATTTCTAAATTTTTGTATGATTATATATATTTGCTAATCTTGGTTTTGAAAGAAGTAAACACTGTCCTAATGTGTTGCATGTATCATGGCTACACTTTTAAAATAACTTCTTATTTATTTATAAAATAAATACAGTTCTCTGTTTTCAATATTTTTTTCCTGTTTTCAATATTGAATAGCTTATTCTGTCTAATATCAACCATGCCAATCTTTTGGAGGGAATGTAGTCAGTTCGACTAGTATGGGCATTCATTTCTCTATGTAGGGAAGAGTGGAAAGCTCCTAGGAAACTATGTGTGCCAGGGCATTGTAGGAAACCTAAAATATATTTTCTTCATTTATCTTTATAACAGCCTGTGAAGAGAGGGTATTAAGAGCTCCATTTTATAAAAAATGTAAATGAA